TGACCTCGGGCCCTCGGGCAGTGCCCGAGTTTCCAAATGGTCAGTCTGCCCCTGGTCCAGGATCTTCCATGGTTGCCAGAGATGTCTGCACACCTGCCCACACTGCAGTAGGAGCCGACTTTGTGGCCAAGATGGCCACCAGAGGAGAGGAGCATGAGGAAACAGCCGAGGGCTGACCCAGTTTTTTAATTTACTAGGTGACATAACACAGGGTGGCGCCATAAACACCAGGCTGACTGCTAACAGAGTGAAGCCCGCTGGTGGTGAAGAGGTAAATGCGCTGCAACAGGATAAGTGGAAGGATTAGTTAGGAGCGGAGCTCAGCCACCATAGTTCTGCTTGTTTCACATCCGGCCATGCCCCCCCAGCTCACACTTTAAATGAATCAATTACAGTACACCTTTTTTTCACATCTGATGTGTGTTTCAATGCCTGATGTGTGTTTATATAGTAGAAGGCTGGCTAGATTCAGCAGCAATAGTAATAGGAAAAATACTAATATTTCCACAATGATTATAGCTACAGAGCTAAATGCAGGCTTTTACTGCTTGCTATTATTATTATTATTATTATTAAATATTATATCATTACACAGGATTTTTTTTGTAGAGTCAACAGTTTGCAAGGGCCATTTTTTCAGCTGCTCAGAGTTGGGGTTCAAAGACTTACAGAAGTCTTGCACCTTAGTTCCCCTAATAGTAAATACAGTAAATCATCGGATCCTACCCCTGCCTTGTGTGAATAAGTCCTTGTAGCACTACCCCCTTAGAATTTGCTGAAGTTTTGGGTCCCCCTATAGTCCTGCACAGCCAGGCAACATGCATCTTCACACAGTCTTGCATCCAGAAGTCAGTGACCAGTCCTTGAGCTTTGATTTTTTAATTTTATTAGAGGATTTGAACTGGGATAGGGTTAGGGGTGTACAGGATGCCCAAGGGAACTAAGAAACCGAGGACAAATTTCTGGAACTATTTATGGGTGTTTATACCAAAAAAGTCTCTTTTGGAGAGCTAGCCAGTGTCTCCTGTAGTACCACCCCAGACCCTAGATACTCCTTATCCAGCTGTTCTGGGTGAATCCCTGAACAGGGGATCAAGTGTCTGCCGCATACATAGTGAAACAGTCATGGGTGGCAGGCTAATCCAGTTTCCTACTAGAGTGCCTCTTTCCCCTTTCTGGCCTAGGGGGTGCAGGTCTACTCAGTCCTTCTGTGCTGCTGGTAAGTCGGTGGATGCTACCAGGCCATTTAGCTGGGCCACTCATTTCCTGCCTCACAGGTGGTCCTCGCTCTGGGGGCTGATGAAGGTCTGAGCTTTCCTCCTATCAAGCTCCACTGCCTGTAGGTGATCCCCTCTCCATCTAGGCCCCCTCCCAGGTTCCTCTCTCCAGCCTCACTCCATTCTCTAACTTCCACCTGAACGCCTCCAACTCTCCTGCTGCTGAGCAGGCTCAGCTACTCTTAAAGGTTGTCCTGGCCCCTTGCCAAGCCTTCTGTTGGGGATTGTCCAGGATCCTCCAAAAGCACAGACTAGCCACTCCTCAGATCCACCCACTGCTTCTAGACCTTTCTCCAAAGTTCTAGAGTAGGGGGAAATTCCAAAGGTCTGGTCTGCAGAGCCTCTCAGCTCTGACCACAATTTGAGCCCTGCTAGCTATCACACCCAGACTGCTACTCAGCCCTCCTTGCTAACAATTGAAGTCTAGCTCCCCCTAGCTGACTAGGAGGGTGCTACACCATCATCACCAGTACTCTCCCCCAGACCCATACTTTAGAGGAGGAGAAGGACCTGATTTCAGAAGGCACTGCACAATGCAGACAGACTCTGCTGCCTCTTGGACTGTCAGAATTGGTTGCTCTGTATAACAGGAAAGATGTAAGACCATGAAAATGGATCCTGTTTACTTCCTTCGGGGTCCTCTTTGGATTTCAGGCAGATTATGGTCATCACTATTAACCCCTTTAGTTCGCTGTGACAGAATTCAGTACTTCTCCTCCCTTAGCCCTTTCTTCCCATCACACGTTTGTCCTGCAGTAACATAGTGGGTGACATCGCCAATCATTTTCATACGTGCATTGCAGGGCAGCACAATGCATGGTAGCGCACTATCGCATGTTATGGCGCCCTCTGTTGGAACAAATGCTGCATGTGCATTTTTTTTGTCCATTGAAATTGAATGTGCGGTCTTAATGCAATGCTTAGCAGCACATGGCTTACTACAGGAGTGTTAACACAACACAGAGGAACAGCAAAGTGTTAATGGTTTCCTGAACCCTCTCAGGTATGGCCAGCTTTATCTGACTGAATGTCTTTTTCAGGGTAACAGCTGTCAGTACTGCTGGTACCAGAAGGGTTACCACCTCATGCCTTTAAAACCGAACACATATTAACTGCTTCCCGACTGCCCTGTAGCAGAAGTACTGCTACAGGGCGGCAGGGATGCGCAGAATCACGGTTATATATATGTGATTATGTATTTCCCGGTAGGGGGTGCGTGCACTGCCTTCCCACGCCTCAATTGGCTCCTCGGCATGTCAACCACTGGGTCCCACCTGGGACTTGGTGATCATCCGTGGAGTTGACAGGGGAGAGGTCTGTATGTAAACAATACAGATATCTCCCCATTCAGCACGAACAGGCTGCTTTGTATTTCTCTGCACAGCAGAGATATACAAAGCAGCATGTCTCCCTAGTAAATCACACACAGCACATAGTTAATCCTTTGATCGCCCCAGATGTGAACCCCTTCCTGCCCAGTGCCATTAGTACAGTGTCAAAGCTTTTTTTTAGCACTGATCACTGTATTGGTGTCACAAGGGATGTCAGCGACACCAAGTCAGTTCCCCCAGTGTCAGAATGCCCGCTGCAGTCCCGCAATAAGTCACTGATCGCCGCCATTACTAGGGAAAAAAAAAAAAGTTCCAGTACACGTGTAGACGCTATAACGTTCATGTAAACCAATTAATTTACACGTATTTGGATTTTTTTTTAGCAAAGATATTTTTAGCATTTTGGTCAAAATTTACAACGAAATTTGATTTTTTTTATTTTTTTTTACTGGATGTTTTATAGAAAAAAAAGTCAAAAATATATTTTTTTTTTCAAAATTGTCAGTCTTTTTTTGTTTATAGGGCAAAAAATAAAAACCGCACAGGTGATCAAATACCACCGAAAGCTCTATTTGTGGGGAAAAATACATACATTTTATTAATGTACACCGTTGCAGGACCGTGCAAATGTCAGTTAAATTATTGCAGCGCTGTATCGCAAACAATGGCCTGGTCAGGAATCCTCTGGAGGGCATGTGGGTAATTACACAGGTCCTGTGGCTGACTAAGGTGGTAATTAAACTCAGTGCCCTGTCTGCAGTAAATACGCCTCAGAACCTGTGTAATGAACGTGTGTTCGGTTTTAAAAGGATGAGGTGACCAGCCTAGGAAGCAGCACAGTGTTTTATTGTCACTAGCAGTGGGGGAGTGTATACTAAATGTGAAGTACACACGTGGGCGGGGAAACATTGCGGTATGAATGGACAAGTCAGCCTCGTCACATGACCATTAATCGGGCCAATGGCGCGCAAAGTGGCAGGCACGGCATGCGCGCTGTGCACAGAAGACTAAGAGGAAGGGTACGGGAGCGAGCACGCAGGTAGGGAATTGCGGGCGCCTGTACGTCGTCTTCAATGGACTTCGGCCAGTGGTGTCAGCAGCGTCCTGTTGTTATGGCAACAGTCCGCCGCCATCCGGAGATAGAGAGCTAAAGGAGCATGCACGGCTGCGGTGACCGGCGCTAAGGAGACAGGCAGCCCTGCGGATCGGCAGGTCAGTTTTTGCTGATGAAGGGGGAAGAGGTTAAAATGGCCAGTGGTCTTGGGAAGGGGGTAGGGGGATCCCCATAGACCTGCTAGGGCTGTCATTAGGTGACAGGCACAATGCTGACTACACCACTGCAATGTTTTTATACACAACATCATCACAGCGCAGCACAAAAAGTACACAATGATTCAATGCATTGCACCGCCGCCTTTGCCAATGCCCATGTGTTACACTCCATGACGTGAGCAATCCCCCCTGGGTATTATTTGGCTTGGTAAATATAGGGGGGGCAAAAGTGTGGCTTCTGAGCTGGCGTCAGGGCCCCACCATTGCCTCAAGCAGCTTGCTTTGGGAACACTCCTGCCATAGACACACACAGCTTGGCTTGGCCCTGCCCTCTGCTCTGTCCTTGGCTGAGATTGACAGCTGTGGGAGCCAATGGCTGCCTCCTGGTCCAGTGGGGAGAGAGCAAATGGGGAGAGTTGCTGCTCCCAGGCACAGCTGGATTTAGACTGGGCTCAGGTGACTGGGGGTCTGGGAGGGGATCCTATGCACAAAACGGTTTTACCTTAATGCAGAGAATACATTAAGGTAAAAAAATAAACCTTAAAGCGGAGCTCCACCCAAAATGGGAAGTTCTGCTTTAAGGACTGCTCCCTATTAAGGATTGGCGCCTTTGGGGCGGGGGGGAGCTGGTACCCGAATTTGACAGGTACCCCACTTCCGGTCTGATCACCTAGATCAGCCTCCTAGGCCGCCTGGAATACAGGACAGCCAGTGAAATGGGCTGCGGGGACACACCACGGGACTGAGGGGCAGGTAAGTGGCTGTTTTTTAAAAGTCAGCAGCTACAGTTTTTGTAGCTGCTGACTTTTATTTTTTGACAGCGTGAGTGGAACTCCGCTTTAACCACTTGCCTACCGGGCACTTTTACCCCCTTTGTGCCCAGGCCAATTTTAACCTTTCAGCACTGTCGCACTTGGAATGACAATTGCGTGATCATGCAACATTATACCTATATGAATTGTTTTCACATAAATAGAGCTTTCTTTTGGTGATATTTAATCGCTGCTGGATGGTTTTATTTTTTGCACTATAAACAAAAAAAGACCAAAAATAAAAAAAAAAATTATTTTCTAGTATAAAATTTTGCAAACAGGTAATTTTTCTCATTCACTGATGTTAATTGATGAGGCTGCAGTGATAGGCAGCACTGATGGACACTGATAGGCAGCACTGATGGACACTGATAGGCAGCACTGATGAGGTGGCACTGATGAGGCGGCACTGGTGGGCATTGAGGCACTGATGAAGCTGCACTGATATACAGCAATGATAGGCACTGACTGACAGCACTGCTGGGCGACACTGATGGGCACTGGTGGGAGGCACTGCTGATCAATGCCGATCTGCTCTGTGACATTTTCGGATTATCGGCAGTACTTTCCTCACGCTGTGACAGTGTGAGAAAAGTGCTGCTGATAACCGGCAACTGTATTTACATTGTGATCTGCTGTGTCATTTGGACACAGCTGGTTACGTGGTAAAAGGCCGCTGTGATTGAACTTTTACCTAGTCATGTGATCAGCTGTGTCCGTGGTTGTAAAGTGGTTAAATGGAGCTCCACCCAAAAGAGGAAGCTTCGATTGTTGGCACCCTTCTCCCCCTCCACTGCCACATTTTTTGGGGGGAGCAGGTACGTGCTTTAGCCCCCTCCTTCCCCCCCCCCCCCCCCAGTCTTCTGGGACACTTCACAGGTCCCAGAAGACTACGGGAACAATCACAAGGCACAGCGCAACTTGCACATGTGCAGTAGGAAACCGACTGTGAAGCCACAAGACTTCACTTTTGGTTTCCTTTACTGAAGATGCTGGCTTGCCACTGTATTTTGGTGCGCTTAGGCGCATTCTGGTGCATTTTTGATGCTTTTTGTTTTTGCCACATTCCAGTACAGTTTAGGGCAGATAAAATGCAGCATGTTCTACTTTTTTTTTCTCTGCACTGGAACATACTGGAACTGACAACACTAGTGTGAACTAGGCCATTGAAACACATAACTTACTGTCCATGCGTTTTTGATGCTGAACAAAATGCACTGGACTGCACCTGGTGTGAACCGGCCCTGAGGCTTTAGAGCTAAACTCTGCAATACCCACCTCCCTCCAACAGTCTGATTTCCCTCGTCATTGCCAACATCTTCTACCTGGTTTCTTCCGGGTGCCAGGCTCCAGACCTCTCCATTGGTTGGTGTGGGATGATGTAATTTATTTGCATGTACAGGAGTTCAGTCATCCTGGCCTACAGGCACTGTGCCGGAATGAAGACTGCAAGCAGGGAGGTAGGTTTCTGTTTTATAGAGCCTGCCTGCTCCCAGTTTTCAAAAAGGGATTTTAGTTTCAGTTTATTGGGTAGCACTGGGTGGGAATAACAGATTCTTCCTGGGTTTGGTCCTACCCCAAGACTCATCTCTAGTCATCAGCAGTAGGGATAAGCATGGGCATGTTCAGATCCTAACCCACACCCACCTGAATGAACCCACAAGGAAACTGTCACTGTACTGAGCCCTTCTATACTTGCAACTGCAGGGCAGGGGAAGCCCCAGCCATTTATGATTGGTTCAGTACCATGACAGCTTCCTGGTGGGTTTGGACTAGGATCTGAACATGCCTGAGCTCACTGCTAATCAAGAATGAGCTCTGACATGTTCAGACACAAGTCTGAAGCTGCCTGAGTTATCCTGCCAGGAATTTGTCAAAGCTGACAGCCAATAGCCACATACATACACACACATCTCTTGTATACATATGGCTGCAGGTTGTGGAATGCCTCCACCACCTATGATTGGCTGTCAGTTTTGACAGCTTCTTAGCTCATTCAGGTTCAAACTCATATCCGAACACACCTTGGCTCATGCTTATTCCTAATCAGCATTATAATCCCTTGTCTGACATAGTCCTAAGGATCCATACACTGGGGTATAAAGCTTTGTGAATTGAGCTTAAAGAGACAGTCCACCCTACTTGGCTAAAACTAAACTTCCCTGTGTGAGAATAAAAAAAACACCCATACTGGTCCATGGAGCCTAGTGTTGTCTTGCTTACAGCTAAGGCTCCCCTTGCACCACACTCCTTCTGTGCCACCAACTTGAAATATCTTTTTGCACATGTGCAGATACGCCATGTATTTGGGACCTGGCAGGCCTATGGTTTGACAAGCACAAGCATACAACAGGTCTGCCGGGTCCTGTAATACTTTGTCTTTGAGTGAAACATTGCTTCCTGGAATGTGTGTCGTGGACAGTAGGATCCTTTTGTTGCATTCCTTGCCTAGGCAAGGAAAAAGGAAGTTGCATTCCTCAAGAAATTATCACTGCCTAACATTAAACATTAAAAAAAGCCTACTATTATATAAAACGGAGAAGTGGAGAGGCAGATTTTCAAATCCATTTTCAACCAGGGTTTGCATGGACAGAAATTAGGACTGCTATGACCTTGCTACCCTACTGCCTGCAGTGATTGTATGTAGGTTGCTGCAGCCTCCTTGCTGTCTGGCAGTGGTGTTGATGGTAGTTGGTGGGCTGTTGCTTCCTTGCTGCCCCTGCTGTCTGGCTGTGGTGGTGGTTGGTGGGCTGTTGCATTCCCCTTGCTGTGGTGGTGGTTGGTGGGCTGTTGCATCCCCCTTACTGCCTGGCAGCAGTGGAGAATGGACCTCTTTGCTTTAGTTTGGTGATGGGGGTAGATGGACAGTTGTATCCTTCTTGTTGCCACCATTATCTAGCAGTGGTGGGGATTAGTGATCTGTTGTAGCCTCCTTGTTACCTGGCAGTGCTGGTGGATGGACCTTCTTGCTTTTATTCCTGACTAGGGATGTTGGTAGATGGGCTATCGCAGCTTGTCTGGAATTGGTGACGGTGTGTGGGTTGTTGTGGTATACTACCTCCCTTGCTGTTTGTCTTTGGTGGTGGGTAGGCTGTTGCCATTTCCTTGTTGCCTGCCTTCAGACCAAGCTTAAAATCTGAAAACACTTTATTATTGTCAGGCACTGCCCGGCGGGATCTCTAGTGACCCACAGAACAGGATTCCCCAGGGCGCGGAGTCTAAGCCCCAGTCTGCCTTTTCACCAGAGCCCCTGATGGTGGGGATGGACTTGGTGCGAGACTGAACCAGGTCGCGACCCCTGAGTGCACCCAACTGTGGAAGAGGGGTCCCGCCGAGAGTACGTGCCGGGGGGGGGGGGGGGGTGAGCCTGCTGTGAAGAGGCTGACAAGTCCAGGTCCCGAGTGGGATGGATGGATGACAGTCAGAAGTGAGTGTAGTCAGACTAGCCAGGTCGGTAACGGTGGAGGCAGGTAGGTACCAAAAAGTAGACAGAGAGCAGCCGGGTCACGAGCCAAGGTTCAGCAACGGGAGGTCCAATAGTAATATACAACAGGCAGGAGAGTAGTCAGGGACGAGCCGGGGTTCAGAGCAGGAGAAGGTCAACACAAATCAGGACAAGCAGGATCGGCAACAGGAACACACTTCAGAACACGGGTACAGGAACTAGACCTTGCGGCAACCTAGTCACCGTCTGGCCAGTTTAAATAGTGCGCCCTGCACAGTCATTGGTGCAATTACTGATGCCGACGCCCAGGTCCTAGTGCCTGCACATTAGTGCACCTAGGCAATCTGTGTATGTGCAGACCTGTGCGCCGCTGCGAGACCCGCAGTCCCTGACAATTATACTTATCTGCATTTTATAATTTTAAAGCCCAGCTCCAGGGAAAGTAAAAATCCCCAGTTGCATTTGGGCTGCCCACGCACTGCAAGGGTTAACTGCTCGTTTTGGTCCAGGATACATTCTCTTATATGTTTGCCACCTATGACAAATGTGACCGCTCTATAGAAGCAACCAGTTTAGATGGCTCTTTGTTGAGTCAGGCTGGGGTTTGCATAATCTTTATATAGAGTTTTATATACAAGTTTTAGTGTAAAGCCATAATAGTAACTTAAAGGATATAGGATCATAATCACATCAACTAAACTGCCTAGTGAATATTCTAGACATTATTCAGAGTACTTATTGAATAATTAGACAGCTTTTGATGCCCTGTATCCTTCAGTAATAATTCATTATACAGCAAGTGGTAGGACTACACAATGTCAGGGTCATTCATTATTCATATATGTGGTGATTTTAATCATTGTGTTTTCGCTGTGTGCGTTCACATTTCAGCATAATGTATGTCCAGTTGGTGGTAGCAGCACCCAGTACCCTGTGTTGTATTTTTAGATGTGGCATAGAATAAATTCAATGCTTCTTTTCTATAAGGGAGTCAGCAGAGTGTCTATTGTCTCACCTTTTTTCACCCCTATATTTACAAAGGGACAGTACATTATCTCATAAACAAACACAAATTCCCAACTCACTTACCAGCTAGCCTGCAACAAAACCAAGCTGACCCTGTCTAACAGTTCATGTTAAAAACAAGGTGTTTAGTCGCACACGTTTGTAAACATATGTAAGCAGCAGTGGCCATGTCAAGGCACCCCACTGTACTATGGTCCTAGCTGTATTATTTTGAGAGTCTCCCAAGTTGGAGCACATATAGTAATGGATAGATTAAGGGCAGGTTTTCCTGGAGGGAGCCCACTTCTCCTTAAAGGTACAGGGACATACCAGACACCCAGCAAGGGTGCACATTTTTTGCAAAAGTACTGAAGGTAAAAAGGTTGCAACAGAAGTAAATAACTTCCTGTGTGGTTTGCAGGACGTTCTGCCTGGCCATTAAGTGGCCACCTGGCAAAAATCTCCTAGGGAAAACAGTGTGGAACCTGCTCTCCTTCCCATTCCTCCTTTATGGTCTCTGACCTTGCCTTGCTCCTCCTTTTCCTCTTGCAGGGGTGATCAGGACGGAGATCAGTGACCTCCCAATTACTGTTCCTCTCTGATCCTCTGATTCCTCTAGTTTGAATGAACCTGGAAGTGTTCCATGTCTCAACTGTCAAATCCCAGCTGTAGCAGACTGCAGTACTCTGTCTCCTGATTTGTATGGGTTGGTGGAAGAGACTTTAGGCACCTACTAGGGCAGCGGTTCTCAACCTGTGGGTCTTGACCCCTTTGGGGGTCGAACGACCCTTTCACAGGGGTCATCTAAGACCATCCGAAATTACATATTTCCGATGGTCTTAGAAACCGAGACAACGCTCCTCTATACTTCTCCAGGCGGGTCCGCCCACATGCAGATACATTCACATACGAGTACCCGGTGTGATGACATCATCGTGCCAACCCCATCACATACACCCCGTACAAATACAGGTGTATGTGACAGGGTTGGCACCACAATGTACTTATGTGGACCAGTTACACATGTGTAAAGAGCAGCTACTGTGTAGAAAGCAGCTGCTGTGTTGAAAGCAGCTACTCTGTTAAAAGCAGCTACTGTGTTGAAAGCAGCAGTATTGGAGGTAACACAACACTTCATGAATTATAATTACTGGGTAAATGTAAAATCATGTAACATATTGTTTTTGTGATTATTCACTATGCTTTAATTATGTTCAATTTGTAACAATGAAAATACATCCTACATATCAGCTATTTACATTACGATTCATAATAGTAGCAAAATTACAGTTATGAAGTAGCAACGAAAATAATTTTATGGTTGGGGGTCACCACAACATGAAGAACTGTATTAAATGTCGCGGCATTAGTAAGGTTGAGAACCACTGTACTAGGGGTATATGGATGTTTGGCAATAAACATTAAAAAAAGAAAGATACATTTTACCTCTATTGTGGAAGCCGATGGAACATTTCCTAATTAATGTAGTGAAATCTTTATGGTTTTTTTTGGCACAGCAAGCTGAAATAGATGCTAAAGAAAACATACTCACCAAGGTGGATGCAGCATCATTCATTGGTAAGGATCAAGTTGACACATCATTCATTGGTAAGGATCAAGTTGACACAAGAAAGTGGAGAAGGCAGAGAGATAACTTCATCAGTTTACTGTTGAATCAGCAGTTTAGATTACTTCACTGTATTTGTTTACTGTAACAGAACAAAATGGCGTCATCATCCTGTCTGTGCAGTGTAATTCTCCTTTAAATAAATATCTTAAAGTGGTATTAAAACCTGTTTGTTTACTTGTGCCTACAGGTAAGTCTATAATAAGGCTTACCTGTAGGTACTGTCAATATCTCCTAAATGTACACCATTTGGGAGATACAGTTAGGTCCATATATATTTGGACACAGGCACAATTTTAGATTTTTTTTCATGTATTTACCGAAACGTATTCAAGCTATAATTATGTAATGGATATGGGCTGAAAGTGCACACTCTCAGGTTTAATTTGAGGGTGTGTACATCCAAATTGGAGGAAAGATTTATGAATTAAAGCTTTAAGAGTAGCCATCCCCCTTTTTCAAGGGACCAAATGTAATTGGACAATTGAATCAAAAGCTGTTTCTTGGCCAGGTGTGGGCTACTCCTTCATTATTTCTTCATCAATTAATCAGGTAAAAGGTCTGGAGTTGATTTTAAGTGTGGTATTTGCATTTGGAATCTGTTGCTGGGAATCTACATTATGCGTTCAAAGGAGCTGTCAATGCAAGTGAAGCAGGCCAATGTAAGGCTTCAAAAATGAAACAAATCCATCAAAGAGATAGCAGCAACATTAGGAGTGGCCAAATCAACAGTTTTATACTTTCTGAGGAAAGAAGAACGCACTGATGAGCTTAGCAACATCAAAAGACATTGCCGACAACAGTGGTGGATGATCGCTGGATCCTTTTATGGTAAAAAAAAAAACCCATTCACAACATCCAGACAAGTTAAAGACACCCTCCAGGAGGTGGGAGTATCATTGTCAGAGTCTAGAAGACTTCACGAGAGCAAATACAGAGGGTTCAGCACAAGGTGCAAACCATTCATAAGCCTAAAGAATAGAAAAGCGAGATTAGACTTTTCCAAAAAACATCTAAATATGCCCGACCAGTTCTGGTAAAGCATTCTTTGGAGGGATGAAACTAAGATTAATCTGTACCAGAATGACGGGAAGAAAAAAGTATGGAGAAGGCATGGAACAGCTCACGATCCAAAGCACACAACTTCATCTGTAAAACATTGTGGAGGCAGTGTGATTGCATGGGCATGCATGGCTTCCAATGGCACTGGTTCATTGGTGTTTAGATGATATGAAAGCAGCCGGATGAATTCTGCAGTGTTTAGAGATAGACTGTCAGCCAAATGCAGCAAAGTTGATTGGAAAGAGCTGCAGAGAACAGATAGACAATGATCCAAAACACATGGCAAAAGCAACCCAGGAGCTTTTGAAGGAAAAGAAGTGGAATATTCTGCAATGGCCAAGTCAATCACCTGATCACAACCCAATTTAGCATGTATTTCACTTGCTGAAGGCAAAACTAAAGGCAGAAAGACCCACAAACAAAGAACATCTGAAGACAGCTGCAGTTAGAGCCTGGCAAAGCATCAGAAAGGAGGAAACCCAGTCTTTGGTAATGTCCTGGGTTCCAGACTTCAGGCAGTCATTGCCAGCAAAGGATTCTCAACAAAATATTAAAAATGAACATTTTATTTATGATTATATTCATTTCTCCAATTACATTTGAGCCCCTGAAAATGGAGGGACTGTGTATAAAAATGGTTGCAGTTCCTAAAATTTGTACTTGATATTTATGTTCAACCCCTTGAATTAAAGCTGAAAGTCTGCACTTCAAATTAATTTGGATTGTTTTGTTTTAATTTATTCTGTTGACATACAGAGCCAAAAGTATGAAAATTGTGCCGGTGTCCAAATATATATGGACCTAACTGTATTTACCTGTGTAGAGCATTGGTGCATGCGCTCTGAATGAACGGTATAACTGTGCCATTCCTTCAGAGCTGTGTGCCATGACATCATCGCGGCTCGGCCATTCAAGCTGCCGGAGCCCACAAACCCAGAAGAAGGACTGAGTGAAGACTACCGTTTTAAAGCATAACTGGACATAAAACTTTTTCCGTTTTTGATAGATTGAAAGAATGTATTTTAGGTTTGTATTGCTTTCTGTGTCCCTGTTAGAGGGATTCACCTTCTCTATTTGCCCTGGTGACCGTTATCACTGAAAGTGAAATAAAATCCCAGGTTTTGAGCGTTCACCGGAACAAGAATGGTGGAAAAATCTTCCAATAAGTACACTAGTGCTGATGACCATGGTGAATACCAGTGAATACCAAGGTTTCTCCTCCAAGGAAGTGAAGGAAAATCTCCTCAATGGGACACAGATGGCATACAAAAATACCAGGGGTTATAACCCTCCTTTACTCTATCCAAAATGGTACACAGTTTTGCCTTCACTTCTTCTTTAAAAATATAGTTTTAGTGTTAATGTTGTGACCAGTACAACTTACAAAAGCATTCTTACAAGTTTCATGTAGGCACGTGGTGGGTTGCTGTGGGCAGTGACTTCAGTTTTCTCTGCTAGGGAACATTCCTGCTCCCTTACTTGATTGTCAAATTTTACCTTACATCTTTCTGCAAACGTAATGTACAACTATAGACAAAACTCTTTTTTTTCATTTTGTAAAGAGCAAGGGAGGGTTATAACTGCTGTGAGACTTTTTCGCCATCTCGGTCCCTTTGGATGATTTCCCTTCACTTCCTGTGCCATAGCCAGTCAGGAAGTGAGCAAAAATCCCTGCAAATTAAGGGAATTTCTTGTGGACTCCCAGGTCACCAGAACTAGTGTCCCCATTGGAAGATTTCTCATCTATTTCTTTTCTGGGGACAACTCAAAATTTGGGATTTTGTTTTACTTTCACTTGCAATAATAATGGTAAACAGGACAAGTAGAGCGGGCAGATCTCCTTAAAGTATAAGTTCACTTTTTAGAAGAAAATAATAAAGGCACATTTTCTTGCAGGTAGAAAAATATGCATTTATTATTTTTGTCTGCAGGAACCTGTAAATCATTGCTCCAGTGATCAGCAGATCGCTGGTGCCATGCAGGTCTCCTGCAGATCTGTCAGTATGACTGCTTGCTCAAACGGGATGTGTGAGCAAGCAGATACGCTGACAGGAAGAATGAATGAACTACCACAATGCTTCAAAGTGCCGTGGTAGTTCATTGAGGACTACAAGCTGACCGCCCCTAAGGCTGTCAGGACCAGGGGCGGACTGACCATTTGGAAACTCGGGCACTGCCCGAGGGCCCGGGGTCAGTAGCGGGCCCCATGAGATGCTCCTTTTTTCATAGGCTTTTTTGAGTTTGGGCAAGGACACAGGGGCCCCATGATCCCCTATTGCCCGGGGGCCCCATGAGTTGTCAGTCTGCCCCTGGTCAGGACTTGTAGTTTCTCATTCACAGATGACTGTGAATGAGTAATGCGGCGAGGGGGGAGAAAATTTGACAGTGAAGGGGGAGAAGATCCCCCCACTAGCTGTCAAAGTGGGGATTGGGGGCTGGTCTAATATGGATGTAACTTATAGCATGTTATGAAAGGTGGACTTATCCTTTAATGGCGGCACAGACTGCAATAAAAACTGACAGGGGTTCTAATCCCTCTCCACTTTATCCAAAAGTAAAAAAATAAAGTTTTGCCTTTTAGTTATACTTTAATGAACTTGTACATTAAGAATATAATTTCACTACTACGTGGATGGCCTTTGTTTAAATGTATGTCATCACAGACTATCAAGTGCTGGAACATGACTGTAATACCTTCATGGTGTATAAAGCTGGAATTTATATGGTCTAATAAAATACATTTTGGGTCGCAACTGACTACAATGAATATTATCTGCAGGACTAAACAAATCAACCAATGTGCCTTTACAGGGTTGTCTACCTTCATAAAAAAGGAAACCCCAAAGCTGATGCTTAAGTGCTTTACTAAAGGCATTTGTCCAGCGAATTCTCCTTTCCAACCATTGTTTAAATATATGTAAATATAGTTCTTAAACATCTAGAGTGCTGATTGCTCACATGGGACTTTCTGAGGCCAGATCGATTGTGGTACCAGTACAAAGCTTAGCAGCTCTTGGCACTCCATCAGTCTTAAAGGTGATTGTAACGAGCATTAAACAACTGATCTATAACCTAGACATATGGCTACCAGGAGATTGGTGCCCATTTTGTTGTTGAAAGTTGGAAAAAAGAAAAATAATTTTAGCATCTGATGTTTTTGAGCCATATCAGCAAATCCATGTCTCATGTAATGTACTCCCCAGCACCTAGATTGCACTGACTTCCTCTTGAATCCTGTATCCGTTTGCTAATGGTAATTTGATTTCAGCATAAGTTGTTTATATACAGTACAACACCTAGCATTACCCAGTAAGACATCTACAGATAATACTAAGAACAAGGTATTGTATATATGGTATTTATGTGCAGGAGGAAAACAAGATGATAACATTTGGGGTGTTTTATTTGATTTTCATGAGCATATTTTAACATTTTAGATGGAAATTAACCATTGAACCCTCTTCTAGAACTTTGTGATCCAGCAATGTCTGCGTCTTCTCGAGGTCCATCCAGAAACACAAATCAGAGAAGCAAAACCACGACACCACCATTAGCTTCTCCTTCTACAAGCTCAGCCAGTGGAGTCCGAGCAAAACCAAGTGATAAGCTCAACCCCAAAACTATAGATCCGGTAAGGAGTATAGTGTTTTATCAAAAATACATTCTATAAATAAAGCCATTATTGGACATGATTAATTTCTAACTGTTCTGCTCCTGTTTTAAAAACTCTGTAGATTGATGTGAATGGTCACCTAAAGCAAGGTGACTTAAAGGAACACTGCTACTTAGACTAAAATTTTTCATCAGAAATTGGTAATCTTGGAACTCTATTTACTTGTTTGCAAAGCAGGAAAAGTGTTCCCAAAAATAAAATAGTTATGCTCTTGTTTTTATTCTGTTGGTCCATTGTCTTTCCTGGAATGTGTTCATACCTAGTCTGGAGGGATTTTTTTTATTCCAGAATCTGCAAAAACACTTTTTCAATAATTGGGTTGATTTAACTTTTTTTGGTTTTGATGTTTTTTACACCTAGCGCTGATGGATACGACTGTATGATGACCACATCTGTCAGTGAATATGGTCACCATATTCACCATGTACTGTGAATATGCTTTGACCATCTGTGAATGATTTGGTCACCGAGCAATAGAAGAGTAGGAACCTAAGATGTATAATCAGAAAAGAGGAGGAATGATAAATTGTAGACTCATGGTTATTTACAGTATGTCTATACAGAATGAAATTTCTGGACACATTTCTGCTGTTGTATTGTGATTTTGCATTAAACTTTGTATAATCTAATTTTTTAATTATTCAGCATGTTGGTACGTGTCAACAGTGAATCAAGAAGGAATCTTGAGAGTAACTGTGACTTATTACTACTTGTTTAATTAAATATTGTAAACAGTTAATTCAGGAAGATGTCAGAAATCAAAAGCTGTCAATCACTTTTAACGTGCCTATTTTTTCTTCAGTTTGCTGAGCCCCAGAGATCTCCCTCAGCGTTTGCTGCCATATACTCTAAAGGAGGCATTCCATGCAGGTAAATTTCATATTTTCATGCCTTCAGCGAAACAGACCTCTGATTTCCAAAACACAGGTTTTTCAGTTAAAAGTGCACACTTCTGACTGGTGGCATTCTTTATGCAAATAATGGCTCTTTTAAACAAAATAGTTCATGCTCAGAGTGATTGTTCAGTCTGCTCTTTAGAATTTTTTTCTGTTTTCATGTTTAAAGCCCACCTCTGACAACTAAAAAATCTTTCAGTGAGACTACAGTCCCATTGTAGGGTTTAATAGCTTGTTTTGTCTAGGGGAGACTAGGGGAGAGGAGAAACCATTTTACTTACCTGATCTTCTGCTTCCCTGGCAGATGGTGCTCCCCCATGATCCAGCAGTGGACTGTCCCACAACGTCCTCACGCCCAGTGCAGAACTATGGACCCTGCTCTGGTCTTGATGATGATAGGAACCTAGACTGCTGGAGCAAGGGGGTGCAGGCACTGCGGGGACTGGTCTAGCTGCAGGGAGGAATGGGTAAGTAAATCTTTTTATTGTTTCCCTAGACAAAAAAAAGCAATTAACTTTTTTGCAGTGTGTTTATTACACACTTTGCAGTCTGAATGGACCCTCACACTGTCTGACAAATTCTCTTCAAAAAAGAGATTCACATTTGAAAACTCTGGCTTGTGAGAGTCTCCATGCTGGAGAATATATACCAAATGGATAAATTAGGTGTGGGTGTGCCTGGAGGGAGCCCATTCCTCCTTAAAGTCACAGGGACACACCAGAAGCCCAGTAAAACTCAGTGGCAGCTGAAGGCATCCAATGTGTCTGCTCGCCACATCCAGCAAGCTAAGCAAAAATGGCAACTGCACCAATTTATAACTAACTTTTAGAGTAAGGAGTACATGAAAGGGCTTTGCACAGAGCAAATAAAACAAAATGTTTTTACTAGCACACTTACCAAACATCCTCTTGTGTGGCTGGAGACATTTAAAAGAAACTTTAGCCCTTTCCTATGTATTTACTGCTGTGCCCCTAATAGGGATATTTCTCACTTTCCGTTCCAGTGACAACATGGGAACAGAGGGAAACTAAGGGGGATGCTAACAATGAAAAACTAACCGGATTCTTACTTTTCCCCTTTTACTAAGAACTTCAAAAAGTTTTATCACTGGCTAGTTTTTCTCTGATTCAGTGTTCCTCCATCCTTTTTTTTTAAGCAGCCATGGAAGTAACAGATCTTATGGTGAGGGAGAATTATGCCTATACACAAGGACAACAAATGGTGCACAGTGACATTCCTAATGCCTGCCAAGCACTTAACTAATGTTGGAGATGAGAAGATTCGCTGAGCTGAATGGTTCAATGGCTACAAGTGCTTAGCAAAGCAGAAAAGCAATAGCACCTTATACAGTACATAGTGTCAGGACGTGCCTGTGAGCTGCTAAGACACTTCCTGTGTTAGGGTGTCATCACTCAAGCAAAGGAGACCCCTCTGGACAGAAGCTCGAGAGGGTAGTGTGAAACTAGCAGATTTAGATGGACTTGATTACGAAATAAAGCCAAACTCTGGATAATGCTTTTGAAGCAGTTACAGCAAGTTTTTTCTTTTTCTTTTAGGATAAAGGTTTCGTATAAAACAATAATGACCATTATAGGATTTTTATAATATAAAAAGATAATAATAAGATAAGGTTTTGTCTCAACCCCCTAATTGCCACTTCTGCTGGACAGCTTGGTTTGTTGAAGAAAGTTGAGAAATAATAGACTCACTGACCAGATCACCAGGTGAAAGTAACCAAGAAACAAAGTCTAAATAATGAAACAAAGACAGCCATTATATTTAACACAGTAATGTTTGTATTGGGGTTTAGATACACTTTACCATTATAACGATGGCTCACCTATTATAGGTGTCCTTTTATGAAACAGATCAGCGGCGATCCTGAGGATCATTGCTGATCTCCGATCATTAGTGGATTTAGGAAACAGAGATGATCAGCGGAGAACATGTTCTCCGCTGATCATCTCAGCACACAGAGCTCAGAGCTGGCGAATCGGAGGAACCGCAAACGAAGCAGCGATAATTTACCACTGCTTAGTAAACGGTGTTTGACTGATCTCTTACTGTAATCTCGCGAGCTTATAGTAAAAGCAGCCGTTTTCCAGCGTTTGAAAGCGTTTTGTAGATCGCTTCTCTCTTCATTCAGAGGACTGATCTACACCGCTTCATAAGAAGGCATTCAGAGGAGAACTGTCTTCTCCAAGTTTGCCAGAGAACTGAGCAGCGGTCATTTACCGCTGCATGATAAAAGGACACCATAGTCTGATTGTATGATTTACAAAGTTTAGTTATAATTGAAGATATTCTTAATTTTCAAACAATCAGATTGTCAGAAAAATGTATTGAGAAGGTAAATGCTGTATGTGTGCTTCATTTGTGTATGCAGAGTTGGCCAATTATTATGTACAGAATAGCCCTAATAACATGAGTACGTTTCAACTCTAAGGCTGGTCCATGGTTCTGTGAAGCACAAGCTACATTGGGAGTGCCCTCCAGAAATAATACCTTTTGACCCACTGCTCATCAACTTAGCTGAGGTAATCTCTCATTCTTTTAAACTGTATATTTATTATGATGCAATATAAAATAAGCCCAAGCGGGGTCGTTTTCTCAGTGAACTTGTTTGCAAGATCATAAGTTAGGCCCTCCTGTTGCTGCACGCGCCACTACTAAAATTTTGTATGGTTTTCATGGGACTGAATATTGACCATGGCTTGAGGTTGGTTACACACTAGTGTGGCTGCGATTTGGTCCAATTTTCTGGGCAATTATGTAGTGAGACTTGGTTGGGTTTTGATGCATTTTTTATACTACTGCTTTTGACTCATCTGTAAGAAACCGAGGGACCCCACGGTCAAAAAATAATTAATGGGGTCCCCCCAAAAATTTATACCAGAACCTTAGGTCTGGTATGGATTTTAAGGGGGGACCCTACACCAAAATAATTTTTATATTTTCATATTTTTTAAGAAAATGGCATGGGGACTCCCACAAAATCCATACCAGACCCTTATCTGAGCCTGCAGGAAAGGGGGGGGGGGGAACAAGTGTTTGGCCCCTCCCCTTCTGAACCATATGCCCTCCACATGGTGTGTAGGGGCGGGGGAATATTTTGTTACATGTTGATGAGGACAAGGGCCTTTTTCCCAAAACCCTGGCCTAGTGATTGTGGGGATCTGCAGGCTGGGGGCTTGTCGAAATCTGGACTATAAGGGAGAACCCAGATCCCACAATTCCTCCCATGTGAATGAGAGGAATCCAGTGATGGCCTCAACAGTGGGGGCCAGTGGTAGTGGCTTTGTCAATCAAAAGACCTCATTGAGGCAGACACCTTACATGAGTTGTTGAAAGACCTCACACTGTTAAAAGTTGTGGGTTACATGGCAGATGGCTCAACTGAGTCTATAGCAATGTCGGTCAAGTTTTCTGCTCTGGATAATTAAGCACAGCAGGCCTTTTATTTTAAAAAAATAGTTTGGGAAATTGGAATTGAAGGTAAAACTTTGCAATTTCAATTTTTAAGGAGACTTCTTGTTCGGTTTGGATTTAGAAGCAGTTTTGAATAGAACTGCAGATTTAAAAAAGGCATTCCCAGTGAAGAAAAAGAAGGAGCTTTTGAAAAGATTTTGAACAAATCCATTAGTCTTCAAGGCTTCAGTTGATCTGAGGGATACATAATTTCCTATTCCCATATATTGGAGTTGGCAAAGACATCTTTGCCTAGTGGTCAGGGTGGAGGACAGTATTTTGCACCTTCAATTCAAAGCTCTTTCAGCTTGCTCTCTGCCCCAAGAATATTCACCAAGGTGATGGAGGAAGCCTGAAGTCATCTGAGAATGAAAGGAATTTTGATTGTACAGTATTTGACATACACCATAGATTTGGTGCAGGAAAAGATCTTTGTCCCAATCGAAAAAATGAAAAAACTCCAAATAGCCTTCAGCTTTCCAATCAGTCAGTGAGTTCAGCTATGTCAGCACTGGGCCTGCTCACAGCGTCTATACCAGAAGTTCAGTGAGCTTGTCTGCACTTCAGCAGTTCATATTCCAGAATTGGGATTATCAGCGGTCCCTGGAAAACGCCATCAGACTTTCTGGCCTAGTGAAGAGGGCCCTTAGTGGTGGAGAGATCAGACCAAGTTTAACAAGGATTCACTGTGGTCCTTTCTGCCACCCAAAAGGTTGATGACAGACACAAGTGCCTGGGGTTTTGGAGGCCCATCTGGAAGGTCAAATGGCTCAGGGTTCCTGGTCAAAGCAGGAGGCCAGGAGGACATCCAGTTGAAAAGAATTGGAGAGAAAAGCTATAGAACTAGGTCTTCTCTCTTTTCAACAGTTTCACCGCGTTCACCATATCCAGTTTTTTTTCGGACAATGCTTCAGCCATGACCTACTTATCAAAGGATAGGGGCACCAGAAATCGTACCCCGTTAGCCTTGACAGAGAAAATTCTGCATTGGTCAGAACAGAATCTTGCCTCCCTAACAGCAGTCCATTTAAAGGGGAGTTCAAATAAGTTAGCAGACTTCTTAAATAGTAAGTGGGTTGCAGAGTCAGACTGAGTGCTAACCCATGAGGTCTTTCAGATGGTTTCAGATGCCTGTTGATCCCTCCTTATAAATCTATTCGCAAATCAATCAATTGTGAAGGTTCCGGAATTCTTTTCCCTCTGCAGAAGTGATCTTGTGGTGGGAATAGATGCTCCGGCCCATCCTTGGCATTACCAACTTTGCTATGCTTTTCCCCCTTTTTCAGTTGATTCTTCTGGTCCTAAAAAAGGTTTCAGGAAGAAACCACTGCTTTGATTCTGATCCATTCTTATCCATTCTGACCCAAAATACCAGGGCTCTCAACTCTTTTAAACTCTGTCGACCATGCCTCCTTTTTGGTGTTCTCAGGAAGGATTTGCTGACACAAGGGCCCATGTTCCATCCAAAAATTAGTCACCTCAGATTTGGTTTCTGAGGAAGAATTACTGAGAAAGAAAAGCTTGTCAGAGAAGCCCATTGGCACTTTACTAACCAGCAGGAAAAAAGTCAAAAGAGCCATTTATTTAAAGACTTGAAAATGCTTCAATTCATGGTTTGAATCTAAACAATTTGCTCCTCGCCATACAGTATCCGTTTTAGAGTTTCTCTAACGGAATGAAGAAAGGATTATCCTTGAAGGCTCAGGTAGCAGCACTGATCTTTTTGCTTTTAAAGTTTTTGGGGTTTTTTTTCCCAAATGGGATTTGTCAATTGATTTGCAAAGATTCACTAAGTATCCTTTTGAGTCAACATTAAAAATGTGGACTTTGAAGATAGTGCTCTTAGCAATTTCTCCAGCTTGCAGAATCAGTAAGCTCCAGGCCCTGTCAATTTGTGAACCCTTTTTTTGTTCATATTGCTGGATCAGTTTGTACTCAGGACTGATTCAGAATTTTTCCTGAAAGTATCTTCGTCCTTTCACTGGACATAGGAGATTTTTCTTCTCCCTTCTGTCCTTCACTCTCCTGTGCTGGTGAGGCAGTTTTCCACACGGTGATGCGAGGAAGCATGTGATCCAGTACTTGTTATAATCTGTAAGATGAAATTGAATGTAAGAATTCTTTTGGGTATTGGTTTTACCACTGGGGTGTATAGTGGAGTCCTGACTTGCATAGCCATGTGGCAGATACTTAATAGGGCCTAATGAGCTTATAACAGATAAAACCAATGAATCGACATCGCTACACATCATGGACCGCTTGTAACATTTGCTGTATTTCAGAGGCCATTTTTAATGCACTCTAAGGTATTTTACATATTCTACACAAGCAATAAAGGTACTTTTAAACAATCCTGGAACAAGCATGCAAATAACAGAAGTCAGATTAAAGTCAAACCAAACTGCTGATCTGCATACTTGTTCCAGGTTAGCAACATATAAAGTACTGAAGCCACTATATCAGTATGGCAGTATGACTGCCAGGATTTTGGTATTTTTAGAACAGGAGATTTAGCAATGGAAGCTTCTATACTTCTTCAGTACAGGTTCCCTTTAATGGGTTTTGTTTGACTAATATAATGTTTATTTTCAGATCATGCCATTAGACTGCTGAATTCTAGAATTAATGTTAATGGTTAAAAAACGTGCCTGTTTTCTTTTTCAGAATAATTTTTCATTGCTATTCATATGACTTCCAATCATTTATATTGGAATCTTTAATTTTCAGCATGTTCCTTAAATTATGTGTAAACGAGAGAGATCAACATTATGTCACACTGAAATTCCTAATAAAATGATTGATTGTCATTTAGCATCAGCGTATATAGTAACATCTGTCATAGATTTTAATTGGAAGAAAGCATCTCTTGGTGTAATTATTTTCAGATGTCTTGGCCACGGCTGAAATTAATCATCGCCCATCACAGTCATTTTATTTATTTGTCACTTGTTACATTTTCTGGCCAGGTTTTGGCTCATGTGTGTCCTTTTTGTCAGTGAAAGGAATTGAATTAAGGCTTATTAGTCCTTTTGTTCCCTGTATAATGTTGTACACTACTTCATGAGACATGACATGTTGGTTTATAAATTAATTTATAGTATAATGTGCCACAAAGCTGCCCAGTAAATATAGACCGAAAGCTGCATATTCTACTTTCAGCCATAGTCCTGAAAACTAAATATGCCCCATGGAAATTGTTGACATTTTCAACAAATCTGAACAGGCAAACATGAGATCTTTATTTAGACAGTGCCTGCAGTTACAGGTGATATGCTTGAATAAGAACACAAGAAAAATGTATTGTTTTCCAACATTTATTCAATAAAAATTACAATGCAATACAATTATGTATGTAATAGTATACTATAGAAAATGTAAGTACACTATTGACATCAGAAGCTGGTATTGACTCCATGTAGCAGAAAGGGCCACTTGCAGGATTTTTTTATATAAAAAAAATCCTTCAGTTGAAAGATGTTTGTGGGTTTGTATGCATCAGCTGCCCATTTTAAAATGTCATTGGGAATAAGATCAGGGCTTTGATTAGGGCAGTCTGTAACTCCCATTCCTTGGTGGATTTGCTATTGTGCTTCTGACCATTCTTATGTTGAAAGACTCCTTTCAGGTTAACCTTCAACGTTTGGACAGGTGGCTTCACATTCTTATTAAGTACACTTTGATATGATGCAGAATGTATAATTCACTCAATGAGTGTGAGTTGTCTGGGACCTAAGGAAGCAAAGCAACCCCAAACCATAACATTTCTACCACCAAGCTTCAAAGTTGTTATGAGGTTCTTCTCCTAAAATACTGTCTTTGGTTTGTGGCACAAATGACTGTTATTAGGGCGAGACAATGCCTATCTTTGATCGATTAGGCACATTGTTTCAGAAGGGCTGGTCTTTGTCTATATGTTCAGTGGCAAACATGGCAAACTGAATTTGTGTTCTATTGTGTGTGGGGGTTTTGTTTTTTTTTCTTTTTTTACTGCAAAGGCTTTTCTTTACACACCTCTCATGCAGGTGCAAACCTTTTAATTGTAGATGCATGCACTTTGACCCCAAGTGTTACAAGGGTTGCCTGAACAGTCTGATAAATGTTTGGGATTCTTGGAGACTTCTTTTAGCAGCCTGCGCTTGGGTTGAATTTGTTGGGTCAACCATTCCTGGACAAATTAGCAGTCATTTGATATCTTCGCCACTTTTACTTTGTTTTTCTTACAGTGGAATCATTGATTCAGAATCATTTGGCAATCTTTTTAAATCCCTTGGCAAACTCATGGCATCCATAACAGTTTTTCTGAGGGCTTAAAGAGCTCTATTGATCTTTGCTATCGACATGTGTGATGTCATGCATGAGCTGCCCATTTTAAAAAAAGTAAGTACATTTCTATATTTACCATCACTTTTTTAAGCTGGAACTTGCTATTCCAGATTAGGGATCAATGATTAAAACCTAGAGACCCTAGATGAGGGTTTGAGGTCTAGGACCTTGGCATGAGGTCTAGATATAGACTTCATGCTAAGAGACCCTAGATGTCTGTGGTCTAAATAAGACACCTATATACTCCCTAAGTAGGTTTTAATCATTGATCCCTAATATGGAATAGCAAGTTCCAGTTTAAAAAAGTGATGGTAAATCTAGAAATGTTCTTACTTTTTTCCCATTTGATAAATCTGCATTTTTGTTAATTGAGATCATGAAAAGGAGTGCACCATTTCAATTTCATTAGTTCAATTATATCTCCTCCATCTGTGGGCATTATTTGAAACCAGATCTTATGATTGCCTGTCCAAATAGTTATTCACATGACTGGCTGCCACCCTGGTCACACCCTCTGCAAGTTTCACCCCGCCCATAGGGGGCTTGGTCACAGAGCCTCTGTGACCAAGGCCCCTATGGGCGGGTGAAGCACATTAGAGGACATATCCAGAGTGGCAGCTGAGGCCACTCACTACACGCTGTTCCTCTCTGACTCCTGGGGATCGGTCTGAGCGGCGTCCATCTTCATACATAGTTGTAGCTCCCTCACATTAAAAAAGAAATTCCACGCTCAGCATAAAAACACTTTCCTGTTTAATGTCTATTTTTTGAAAAGTCTTAGCATTTGTGCCAAATATCAGGAACGGCAAGGTTTTTGACCGTTCTGTTGGTTATGATTCAGGGACGCAGCCCCTTTCAACTTGTTAACAGTGTGATGTTGGCTTCTGATTATTACTTTACAAACCTTCCTGATATCAAGCTACTGTAACTTTTAGTGGTTTTGTTGTCCTTGACATGAAGCAATGCCTATGAGTGGATGCTATTTACGTGCAAAGGCAGCTATTTCATTCAGGGCATTTTTTTTTTTACAAAGTAATAAATGTTGTTTTGATACAGGCAAAATAAATATTGAAAAGGTGTGGTAATATGTTAGTATGCTTAATCCTCCATAGTTCTAATTGTACCTTTTGCTAATTTAATATCTATTCCTGTTCCCTGTGTAGACCCTTGGATTTCAGTCTTAGAATTTACACATATGGCACTAAGTCCAACCCCACCCAAACATTAAGCCTGGCCTCCTGACATTCAGCTATCAAATTCTTAAGTTTGAGTTGGCCACTGAGGCTCCGACATTTGACAGCTGATTGGAAGTGGTGGGACATGGCACCAGTAAGGAGTTGGGCATAATACTTAGAGGTTGAGGCTCTTTATAAGGATAGGCACAGGAATTGGTTTGAAGACTAGCAACTAGCACCAGTATTTGTAGATTCATTTTTTTTTCTTTTTTTTTTTGTTTAGATTATGTGTTTCTGTGTTCTTTTTATTTAAATATTAGTAATTGATTGAAAAGCTTCATAGATTGTCATTTCTACTCAAATCTTAAATCAATTAAATTATAAATAAATCAAATTTTAAAAAAATTGTTGTAGTCTACAAAACCTAATCCAAAATGTAAATAAACCTGCACTTTTCTGTAAAGGCATTTTTTTTATTTTTTTTTAATTTTGGATAGAGTAAAGATGGATTAGAACCTCTGTATTTATTGCTATCTGTGCCACCATTAGGGAGATTCACCCCCTCTATTTGTCCTGTTTACTATTATCATTGAAAGTAAAAGTAAAGAAAATCCCAAATTTTGGGTCCCCAGAAAAGTAATGGAGGGGAAATCTTCCAATGGGGAAACTAGTTCTGTTCACCTCGGGGTACCAAAGGGATTCCATTAATTTTCATGGATTTCTTCTCACCTACTGTTTGGCTATGGGGCAGGAAGTGAAGGGAAATCTCTGAAATGGAACACAGATGGTTATAAAAAGATCTGACAGAGGTCATAACTTTCCTTACTCTATCCAAAATGAAAAAATAAAGTTTTGCCTATAGTTCTACTTTAAATCGAGTATTGTGCTGCGCATCTTTATGGTTGACATTTTAGCATTACCTCCACAGCCTAACCCTGGCTGCTGTGATACTATGCACTTACTGGTTCCAGAGGTGAGGGTTCAAAAATGCCCTAAAACCTGCATACATTTAAAAAAAAAAATCCTTCTTATTTGGTAAAAAATAGCCAGCCCTCTGTAAACCTTTTAGAATGATGGACTCGTTTAGTTTCCAGGATCAACACTTAAATAAAAGCCTAACGAATAAATAACATTGTGTATACACATTCTTGTGGAGGTTTTCAGTTGGTGGCCCTCTTCTTATTTCAAAATCATTGCGCTTTAGAAATGTATTTGCTGTGTTCATGAGAATCATATTTACTGTAGTAAGTACATTTTCCACCTCTTTCTCTTTCTTGTGTGACAGGGTCTTCGAGAGACCAGACACCCTTATACATTCGTTTCACAAGAGGGATTTAAGGAGTTATTGATGGTTCCCAAGGCTGCAGAAAAAGCCTTGCCCTTATTACCCAAGCTGGCCGCTGCTTTGAAGACCGCCCTTGTATGTATTCTTTTTATTGAACATCAGTTATAAAGACTAATTTCTTTTCTGTGATGGAAAAATGTGCGCTGAATTATGGAAGAAAATCAGACCTAAATCTGTTTTCAAGGTAATATTTCTTGGGTTTACAGGTGGCGATAAAATTATAGCAGAGGTTCTAACTCTTCCCCACTCTGTCCTAAACTAGAAAGTTCTATTGTTTGTACAATGAATAGTGTGCAAATCCTGCATGCTATCACTCAGAGAACTGAGCCCTATTTTTACTGTTCCGCTCAGGCACAGCAATAAAGAATTGTTTCACAACCGCTCAACACTGAGTATACTGATAGAAAATTTAAACAAGTGAATGTTATAATGGGAAAGGATAGGATTAGATCAGAATGAACTGGAACGTGTAAGAATTGCGCATCTGGTATGCATCTGGACTGCGTTTCTATAGTGTGAACCGGCCCTTAAGCTGTTTCAGTCTGTGCGATCCGCGACTATACTCTCTCTACTATTGGCACATGCCTCCCCTGGTCAACCACACTATATCATGGAATGGGAAATAAAGCTGACCTCTACTCTTTCATAGAAAGGAAAAAGGCTTTGGCTATTTCTAACACGTAAGATGTCTATAGCTAGCTAAATTCAGGAACAGAATTTCAAACTTTTGGCTAAGTGGTACCGCCATCCTGCTAGACTCCTTGCTATCTTTCGGCAAATTTCAGATTCCTGTTGGAGGTGCTACCATGGCTATGACCATATGACACTCGCCTCAAATTGTTCTCCTGTCCATTCTCTCAGGTCCTATAACTGCTGCTAAATGTTTGTCACCGTTTTCCTTTTTTGGCCGCTGGGTCAGTCATACTCAAACATGGAAATCACATATCCCTCCCTCCATTTGTGAGTGGGCAGAAGAATTGCAGTTCCATGATGAGAATGAAAGAACTGACTGTTATTTATATTGTCGATATCCTAAATTCCTGGAAATCTGAGGTCCTTGGATACATTTCTGTACAACTTCAAGATTTCAGGAAATTTTAGCCACAAAAAATGACCTAAACTCATTTATTTCTCTTGGAGTTCCATACCGCAGCTGGGATTGAATGCCCTCTTTACTTTCTATCGATTGACTGCAGTACAACCAGCCTATTGGTTTTTTTTTACATGTGATTACTGCTGGCAGCTATAGCTGCCTGTTGTAGTTATTGTGTTCTGTGGGCAGGGAAGGCTCAGAAACACAATAGCATTGCAAGAAGGATTCTCCCGTCAAGACTGACTGTGTTGATGGGGGAATCCAGTGATTTTCTTTCCTGAAACCCATAGTTGCATGAAAGAAAATTGCATCATCTATGGCTTACTTTAATTTTTTTTCACCCTCCTCTCTTATCTCTTTTTCTTTTACTTCTTGACACTCTCTCCATCTTTTGTACACATTCCTTAGTCTTTGTTGGATGACACACATACTAGTTGATTACAAATTTTTTACTTTATTATTACTAGGGATGCACCGATACCTTTTTTGATCAGCGAGTACTGATACTTTTGGTCAAGGTGTCACCAATACTTTCCGATACGATTTGCATCAATACAAGGAGCGGTGCAGAAAACCTCCCTGCACCACACCCATGCTGTCACAGAAGGAAAAGCTGGGGATTTTAAATCCCCATGGTTTTCTCTCCTCTCAGTGCAGGGATGACAGTACAAGCTCGATGGCTTTTGTGACTGGTCAGCACTGTCACGGTGCTGACCAACCAGAAACTGTCTAGCCTGTACTGTCAATCCTGCAAGGAAAGGTGAAAAAGCTGCTTCACAGGTCTGTGGATTAGAAAATCTCTCCTCTCCTTGCAGGGATGACAGTATGGGATCAATGCAGGGAGGTTTCCCGCACCGCACATGCGTGAGCTATGACAAGCCTGGGTTCACACAGGAGCGGTGAGGAAATGGCATTCCTGTTCAAAATGCATTCTATTCTTTGCGGAGCAATTTGTGTACATACATTTTGTATTGATGCAAATCGCACCGCACAGTATCGGTTTCAGGTTTTGGGAGCATTTTAACGAGTGCTCGTGTAAATGCTCTGTATCGGCACCAATACAAGTAAGGGTGCATCCCTAATTATCACCTAAATACATAAAAACTGTGAACAAATTTATGCCTAGTCATTACCATGCTGAATGTCCAAAATGTCAATGTCCAAACAAATGTCATATTACATTATTGTGTTATATTCTTTTGGGTCACACTGTAGTTTCCTTCTTCTGCTGTATTATAGACACGCATCTATATTCTTTGTGTCTATATCAAAGAATATACTCTATACAAAACTTATTAATAAAAACATAATCTTAAAACAAAGAATATGCTGATAATGCAAATAGGCCACAATTATTTACGTCCTTGCAGGTTTTTTTGTCGAGCAAATAAAACTACAAATGGGTGGTTTTGTGCTTGTGCTTTGATGGTGCATGGTGTAAGCTGAAATCCTGCTTGTGAATGAAACAAAAATAGCAAGACAAAAATGGGTAAACTTGACTGGATTCATGTGATCAGATTTGCTTTACCAAAGATTGTTGTGCCGCTACATTGAATGTTTGAGCACCAGCTTTGACAGCATATGTTCTCTAAGGGTCTTGTGAAGTTCAGACCTGTGAACAGATACCCATTCAGTTCCATAAATATCTGTGGTGCTGATTCATAAAACTACAATAACACTTATATCTGTATTCCCCTGGCAGCTCCCCCTCTTCCCAATAAATGCCATTTTTAAACTTTCCCATTCTTACAATTGTAGAAATCCTCGTCTTTGCCCCTGTGATGTTATTTTAGGGGTTGCCATTGTCTTCTTTCTGTTAGAGGCAGGATCCCAGGGGGTGCTCAGCATTATTTCCTCTAGGTGCCGGGCATCCTGTTAGATTTTAATGCTAGCTGTGATTTACAGTATGTATTAGGATTGTTAGCAGTGATAAAGTGTGGTAGATATGCAGTCTTATGCAGCTGCTGAGGTTGACAATGTTCCAGTGAATTCACTGCAGTCCTTGTAGTGTTGTCCTGCTTCTGGATGAAAGGGGACCTCAGTGGCAGTTTTACATAGTTACATAGTTAGTCTGGCTGAAAAAAGACAAAAGTCCATCCAGTTCAACCAATAAAAAAAAAGTTATCCTATACCCACAGTTAATCCAGAGGAAGGCAAAAAAAACCCAGCAAAGCATGATCCAATTTGCTCCTGCTGGGAAAATAATTCCTTGATCCCCCGAGAGGCAATCGTATATTCCCTGGATCAACTTTACCTATAAATGTTAGTAACCAGTTATTTTCTGTGTATCCAAGAAAGAATCCAGGCCTTTTTTAAAGCAATCCACTGAGCTGGCCAGAACCAACTCTTGACGGAGTCTATTCCACATTTTCACAGCTCTCACTTTGAAGAAACCTTTCCGTGTTTGGAGATTACATTTCTTTCCCTCCAGACGTAAAGAGTGCCCTCTTGTCCTCTGTGATGACCTCAGGGTGAATAGCTCTACACCGAGTTCACTATATGAACCACTGATGTATTTATACATGTTGATCATATCCCCCCTTAATCTCCTCTTCTCAAGAGAGAATAAATTCAGTTCCTCTAATCTTTCCTCATAGCTGATCTCCTCCATGCCTCGTATCAGTTTGGTTGCCCTTCTCTGCACTTTCTCCAGTTCCCCAATGTTCTGTTTGTGAATTGGTGCCCAAAACTGAACTGCATATTCCAGCTGAGGTCTTACTAATGATTTGTACCGGGGTAATATGATATCTCTCTCTGGAGTCTATACCTCTTTTAATACAAGAGAGGATTTTGCTCGCTTTAGAAACTGCAGCTTGGCATTGCATGCCATTATTAAGCTTGTGATCTACCAGAACTCGCAGATCCTTCTCCACCATTGATTCCCCCAATTGTGCACCCCCTAGTTTTATCATCTTTTAGGCCCCTTTCACGCTTGTGCAATTTGTCATGTGACTATGGACACAAAGTCGCAGGACAAGTCACAACCTATTGTTTTCAATGGCATCTGTTCGGGTCTATGTGACTTAAAGTTGTAGCAACTTTAAAAAGGTTCCTGCACTTCTTTGATATGGCTTGAGTGCCAGAAAGTGTAAAGTTGCATCAAGGTCGCACTGGAAATCGTGTGACTTTGTAGTTGCACAAGTATGAATGAAGTCATAATAATGTTATTTTGCATTACAATAAATATGTTTATCCTACTAAATTCATTATTGTGAACTGCATTTTTTTTTATTTTATGTATAGTTTTTTCATTAAAGTGCATTTAAATAAGTTGCTGTGGTAACTGATTTTAAGTGGAACTATCACATAGCATACCTGTACATAATGGCTGCCTCCCTCTGAGTTTGCCTTCCTCCTCCATAGCTCCACCTCTTCTTCTACCTCGTAGCATTTTTCAACCACTAGCTGCCCAGGCCAATTCTGATATGTCTTTCATACATGTAAAAGTCAGCATTTTTTTGTTAAAAAATTACTTAGAACCCTCAAACATAAAGCACAGAAAGCACAGGCCCTTGAGAATAAAATAGTAGATGTTGCATTTTTTATGTCACAATATTTGCTCAGCTGTTTATCAATATTTTAAGGAAAAATACACTTTAATGAATAATATAATACCTTTTTTTTTTGTAAAATAGAAAAGATGATATTACGCCGAGTAAATGGATATCTAACATGTCACGTTTTCAAATTGAGCATGCCTGTTGAATAGGGACAAACTATAGTACGTTAAATTATCCATAGACGACACTTTAAAAGCCTTTACAGCTTACTAGTAAAAAGTTGAAGGTGAGCCTTGGCACTAGAATTTTTGCTCTCATTTTGACATTCACAAAATACATCATGTGTGGTGCAATCACCGTTTACATATGCACGTGAGACCTACTTGTGCATTCACATTTGCATGTGAGCACAGGGGAAGAGAGTGCTTTTGATTTTTGTTTTTTTATTATTCTTTATTTTATTTACTTTTTTTTTTCCTGTCACTATGTCTTTTTTTATATTTTTTTTGGGGGGTCAACTTTATTACTTGTGATAGCATGATGACAGGTACTCTATTCAGTAAGAGATTTGGGGTCTATTAGACCCCAGATCTCTCCTCTGCACTCCAAAGCAGCAAATCGAGATCGGTTTGATCAACTACTTTACTAGACGGTAACCACAGGTAAACAAACGATCGGAAATCAGAATATTTCTAAAATGTGTGTGGAGAGTGGGTATGGAAAACATTTTCACCATGTGAGGTACCATCCCTAAGAGTGAAGTATACAACAATGTGGCTATATGAATTGGGACTTTGGATGTACCTCTGGAGGTGTAAAACCAAGAAGATAAAATCAATATATAAAACATATTTTTTTATTATCCCAAAGAAGTAAAACAGTATTTAATCTTAAAAACGTATGAGTATCATGTTTTTTCCATATAGCCGTATATATATTTCTGAGATCCTGTCTATGTGTGGCCAATGCATTTCGCGGCACACCCGCTTCCTCAGGGTCCTGGATCTCACTATACAATACCTACAATAAACTGTATACCATTATTAAAACCATATAATAGTCACAAGAATACCAAAAATCAAAGATCAACATTTATATAACATAGGATTACTATAATTGTTCTCCAAATAATACCAACCTACCCGAATTGCAAAGCAGAGTCAGGGAGAACCAAAGGAGAGAAAAAAAAAATATTATTCTTCTCCAAATTCCCATGTATTTATTCCCCTTAATATATTAAATTCACGGGAGTTCCATCTCCAAATAATTCCTTATCAGCTCAGGGGCAAATTTTGTGCTAAACAATTTGATGAGATACTCAACATATGCAGCAGCATGTTGGGCGACCCCGCCCGCCAGGTCTGTGGGGAGGGATCTAATAATGAGGCACCATACTTTTTATCACCGGAAATGATAGACTCCTGCATAGCACAATAAAGGACAAATACATTCATTGTCATTTATATCCTAACTGACTTTACAGTTGTAAAACTGTTTCCTAATTTATGAATATTACCAAAGATCCAAAACCATCCAATTTCACACAAAAGAAAGCCTAAGTAGATGACTGCTAGCTCTACAACCACATCAGATCGTCAAATCTGAAGCCTGACCAATGATCACCTAAATGTGCCAAAGGGTGTTTGCATATGTCAATCTAAAAATAAGGAGAAAAGGACTCAGCCATAAATCTAAAAATAATCCAAAACTAACAAGGCTATCATGAATTTTTCCAAGGCAGACACCTTATTGCACTATTTGTGAACAACTATAGTAATCCTATGTTATTTGAATGATGATCTTTGATTTTTGGTATTCTTGTGACTATTATATGCTTTTAATAATGGTATACACTTTATTGCAGTAGCAAGATCCAGGGCCCTAAGGAAGCGGGTGTCCCGTGAAGTGCGTTAGCCATACATAGACAGGATCTCAGAAATATCTATATGGCTATACAGAAAAAGACAAGATACTCATACTTTTTTTAGATTAAATACTGTTTTACTTCTTAGTGATAATAAAAAATGTGTTTTATATATTGATTTTGTCTTCTTGGTTTTACACCTCCTGATGTACATCCAAAGTCCTGATTCATACAGCCACATTGCTGTAAACTGAAATCAGAAGTGACAAAATCTGTGTTGTTTCCAGCTTCATACACCATAGAAAAGAACAGGGAAGGGATGTTCTTCCTTCTTTATGGTCCCTGGTGGGACAGGAGTGCCCTTAAATGGCAGTGCTTGGTGGCATAAGGGAGGGGAAACCTTTCACTCCTTTTAAAAGTGATTGGGGTGGCTGTGTAGGCTCATGGATCACTTTTACAAAAAAAAAAAAAAAGAGCATCACTGGCTGAAAAATGTGACACCAGAATCGTGGCTGCAGCTGTCTATTTACACCTTAAGGATAGGAAGTGGTTGAAGTCATCCTTTAAAGGCCACTTTAGCATTCCTAAGTTACCCTTGCAGTACTGTAAGTACTGTTGCAGCTTCATGAATTAGAACCTGTGGCACAGGACTGTTCAAGGACAGCTTTAGCAGTCTCTCTTTTCACACTTTTTTGAGAGCACTTTAACTTGTGATTACATTCTGCTAAAAAGCTATAAAATGTTATATGCTATCATGGATTTAATATTTCTTTAATATTTAAACTAATGATATGTCTTGATTCTCAGGTACATTCAGACGGTGCCGTGTTTGAACGAGGTTTGAATGGCTTGGTACAGCTTAGTGCTGTTGTTGGACCAGCATTAAACATTCATCTAAAGAATCTGCTCACCAGTGTAAGCTCTGAAAATTACATTTTAAAGAGGCCCTATTGCCAGACCATTCTTTGCAATGCAAATTTACCCATAAGATGATATGTGCATTTATTGTATTTAAAGGATAAGTTCTCCTTTTAGATAAAAATAATAAATGCACATTTTTTTTACAGGTATAAAAACGTGCGTTTTATTATTTTTGTCTACAGGAGCTTGGAAAGCATTGCACCAGTGATCAGTAGATAGTAGATCCTAAGGGATGTGTGAGTGAGCAGACATTGACAGGAAGCTTCAGTGAACTACCACGGTGCTCCACAGCTCTGTGGTAGTTCATCAAAAGCTACACTCCGGCAGCCGCTAAGACTGTCAGGACTTGTATTTCATTCATTCACGGAAGTCTGTGAATGAATGATGCAGCTGTGTGGGTGGAGCCCCACACAGCTGCACTGGTTTTAAATTTGACAGATAGTACAGGGAGAAGTCTCTCCGTACTGTCGGAGGGGGGGGGGGGTGGCAGGCAGTGGCTGTGGCTATGGGAGCATGTTACTTTCCACCCTAAAAATGGGTGGAGCATGTAACATGTTCCCAAAGGTGAACTTATTCTTTTATGTATGTTATCTAGCTGTAAAAGCCTCCCGTTTGCACACTCAAAAGTCCTGAGACTGCTGCTGTGCACTGCCATCATGGATATGATCTTAGCAGACTCAGAGCTGTCAATTAAGTGACACTTTATAGTATTCCCCTTTGCTCCTCCCCCAACTGCTAAATAAAAGGTTATGTGGAGGAGCTGGGCCAGCACAGACAATAAGACACCCCCAGAAAAGGAAAGAGCTGTAATGTACAAGGAGAGTGGGAATGTGAATTTGATGTGCATAGAAATCTTTCATCTGGTGGAATAGAAACCTAGATGCAAGACCAATTTTTATACATTTTCCTCTATTCCGACCTTATTAAAGTGGTAGTAAACACGGCTTGGTGACTTGTACCTACAGGTTATAATAAAGCTTACCTTTAAGTACAAGAAATATCTCCTAAACGTGCAATGTTTCTGTTTACGTCTGTGGCACATGCGCACTGCACTCTGAATAGACAGTATATTCAGTATGCTGTCCATCCAGAGCGCTGTGCTGCGATCGTGGCTCCTGTGTGCATGTGCAGGAGTGATATCATTGAGTCTCGGCCATTCAAACAGCCAGAACCTATGAACCCGGATGGAAGCCCTATCAGCGGTAAGTCTTTCATAATGTGCTAGTAAGTGGTGCATACTAGCACATTGTGCCATTGACTTGCATGGGGAAGTTTATTTATTTTTTACTTACAGACTTTTTTTTTTTTACATTAACCACTTCAATACAGGGCACTTTCATCCCCTTCCTGCCGAGGCCAATTTTCAGCTTTTAGCCCTGTCTTACTTTGAATGACAATTGTGCACACTGTACCTATATGAATTTTTTATAATTTTTTTTCACACAAATAGAGCTTTCTCAAAGCAGGGAGATGAGATAAAATAGTCAAATGTCTTAGTAACAGCAGCACATTTCACACACGTTACACTTGTTAGGCACACAGTTAACCATTTGATTGCCTCTAGATGTCATTAGTACAGTGAGAGGGTATTTTATTATTATACAGGATTTTATTAGCACTGATCACTGTGTTAGTGTCACTGGATATGTCAGTGTCAGTTAGCCAGTTCCCACAAAGTTTCAGTGTGAGATTGCCCGCCGTACTATTACAGTGTCGCGATAGGTCGCTGGTCACCACCATTACTAGTATAAAATAAATAAATTCCTGTATATATACCATTGTCTGTGGATGCTATAACTTTTGTAAAATAAATTTTTGTTGTAAATTTATGAAGAAATTAGATTTGATTTTTTAAACATTTTTTTTATTGGATATGTTTTTTAACAGAAATAAAAAAATATATAAAAATATACTTTTTTTTTTTTCCCTCAAAACTTAAAACTTTTTTCCATTTATATACCGTATTTTTCGCCGTATAAGACGCACTTTTTCTTCCCCAAAACTGGGGGGGAAATGTCAGTGCGTCTTATGGAGCGAATATGGAGCGGCCGGTCCGGTATTTCCACCGCGGCCGTGTCAGAATACCGGGACCTTACCTGTTCCTCTATCCAGCGGCGTGCTGTCTTCCCGACTTCTGTAGTGTGGGCACTGGGCATGACAGCCGGGTGCCAAGTGCGCATGCGCAAGAAGCGGTGCTTTTTGTGAATGGTAAGGCGGTACCTGGGACACATGACAGATCCCAGAAGCCGCCGGACCAATCACAAAGCGCAAGTGCTTCTCGCTCATGCGCACTGGGCACCCGGCTGTCATGCCGAGCGCCATTACAGAAGCCGGGAAGACAGCGCGCGGCTGGATCGAGGAACAGGTAAGATCAAACAAAAACTCTGCGGAAGTAAGAGCGGGTACCTGTCAAATTCAGGTACCCGCTCCCCACCTCCCCAAAGGTCAGCAGTCATCTGTACTGTCCGCAGTCTCTGGTCATCCCTGTGCTGTCCGCAGTCTCTGGTCATCCCTGTGCTGTCCGCAGTCTCTGCTCATCTCCTGTACTATGTCCGCAGTCTCTGGTCATCTCCTGTACTGTGTCTGCAGTCCATTAGTTCAGAATTTTTTTTTTACCTGTTTTCTGCCTCTAAAACCTAGGTGTGCCTTATGGTCAGGTGCGTCTTATACGGCGAAAAATACGGTAATAAAAAATAGAAAACTGAGTGGCGAAAAATACGGTAATAAAAAATAGAAAACTGAGCGGTGGTAAAATATACCCAAAAGAAAGCTCTATTTGTGTGAAAAAAAGATATAAATTTAATTTGGGTACAGCGTTGCATGACCGCACAATCACCAATTAAAGCAGTGCATTGCTGAATAGCAAAAAATGGCCTGGTCATGAAGGGGATACAACCTTCCAAAGCTAAAGTGGTTAATGAAAAAAAAGATGCGTGTTTCATGTTTGTTTTTTTTCTTTTGTCAGCTCTCCAAAAGGCTAATGGACAAAAAATATAAAGATTCAGTCACGACTTCCTTACAGAAATTGGAGCATTATGGCGGGAAGGTAATTTCTGATAATTCATTATAAACATGAAGATGTGCATTAAACAAAACAGATAATTATGAGCTGAATTAACAGCCTTGAAATTACAAAAACCTTTTATTGCTCTGCAGTGAAGCACTAAGCAGTGAGTTATCTGCAGATGTATTACATTGGATGGGTGCATTAATCAATAGGGCACATGCTGGCACTCACATTATTATTTTGAGTCAAAGAATCTCAACTTTATGGCCCTGAATAAAAGGAGAGACTCCCTCATGTCACTGAACAACTAGGCACCCTAGTTCATGTCTGTGTCTTCCATTAGCATTGTGAATGTTTCACATCATTAGAGAATGTTTTGTTGTGAAGACATTCTGTAAGATGAGAGAATCAGCAATTCTGCTAAGCAGCAGCACAGCCTGTGTAAGATCATTTAAGCAGAATTTCTGTCTAACAGTAACTATGTTTAAAAATGTCACCCTCCCCCCCTGCTATCTATGGTGCCTAACCTTTGTAAAATATTTGTATATACTCAGGGCTTGTTTCAGTGGGAATGCGGGGGAACACACCTACAGCACTGCATGTATTTAATGGCAAGGGGTGCTGGGGTGTGCTTGGGGGTCCATTGATGTTAGCTGCTTGGGATCTATTGTCACGAGAAGGGGGGCTGGATCTATTGTTGTAGGATGGATCTATTGTTGCTGGGAGTGATCTACTATTGAGGGTGGGGTCTATTGTTGTTGGTCTATTAATGCTGGCTGCTGAAGGGGTATTTTGTTTCTGGGGAGTCTATTGTTCCTGGGGAGGGATCGATTGTTGCTAAGGGGATCGATTGTTGCTAAGGAGTATATTGTTGCTGGCTGCAGGGGATCTATTTTTTTTGCTTTTCTTGTGATCAGTAACAAATTCCATACAAACGATTCCACAAAATGATACTTGGTTCTGTGTTCTCTAAAAGGGGCAGTACTGGGAGGTGCATAGGGGGTGGAACCAAGGGATGATGCTCAGAGGTGGATAGGGGGCAGAGACAAGGAGTGATTCAGAATGGAGGGGGGGGGGGGGGTACCTGCACCTATTCTCAGAAGAAAAAGCCCTGTATATACTAACCGTTTTTTAAGCCTGCTCTGGTCCAGTCATGTGATCCCCTGTTAGTCAGCGGTGGCTGCAGGGGAGGGGAGGAAGCATTTGACAACAGCTGGAACTGCCATTACCCATAGACTCCCATGGCCCAACCGTTATGTGTATGGTGTTAGTTAACCTTTTCATTTTTTCGGGACAAAGTGATATAACCCTATAAATGCAGATGATTTTTGTTATTCTGTTTATGTGCTGTAAATGTTTATTACTTCATACAAAAAGCTACATTTATTACTTAAAGTATAACTAAAGGAAAACTTTTTTTTTTTTTTTTTTTTTTTAAGTTTTGGACAGAGCGGAGAGGGAGAGGGATTAGACTACCTGTCAGTGTTTATAACTGTCTGTGCCCCTGTAAAGGAGATTAATCCTCTCTATCTATCCTGTTTACCATTATCATTGAAAGTGAAAGTAAAAGAAAATCCCAAATTTGGGGTTTTCTCCAGAAAAGTAATAGAGGGGAAATCTTCCAATAGGGACACTAGTTGTGGTGACCTGGGGGTCCCCAAGGATTCCCTTATTTTGCAGGGATTTCCTCTCTCTTCCTGTTTGGCTATGGGACAGGAAATTAATGGAAATCTCTGCAATGGGACACAGATGACGGAAAAAAAAAAATCTGACAGGGGTTTTTATCCTCACTTGCTCTGTCGAAAATGGGAAGTACAATTTTTGCCTATTTTAATTTTGTTTCTTGTTTGGCAACTGAATTTGATTTGGTGGAATTCTTTTTTTTTTTTTTTTTTATAGGAGAGTCCTGACGATTATTAAATCAAAAATACCAACCTACTGCTCCATATACAGCTGAACGTGATGGAAACGTTTTGTGGGTGTGGACTTTACATTGTGAGAAATGAAAGAATACACACAATTTCTGTGGCCTTTCCTATGGAGATATAACACATGGATGCCAAAACCTATCCGATGGAGGCTAAGCCCTCTGTGTGCAATAATTGTTTTCTGTATTGACTTGTGTGTGTGTGTGTGTGTGTGTGTGTAAATATATACCATAAAAAAGATCTGGGAAAGTGCTTTCTTCTGTGTGATCTGCAATGCCAAGTGCCCTTAAAGTTGGTTGGGATTAGTATTTGACTATGTACAGTATCACTTAATAGGTTCATCTCTATTATGTAGGTGCTGCATATAGTAAACCAATCAGATTCAGAGTTTCAATCTCCACCTCATTGAACGTTGTGACGCAGATAGTTGGCCCTCATACCTTTTGACCTACCTACCAACTTACCTATGTGTTTGGCTGCATAGTGTATAAAGTTCATCTGTTTTACTCAGAGCTTTGTAATTTGTGTGAAGAGTGAACTCCCAGATGCATGTACTTCCACTGTAAGCACATCTCATTGGCCTTGGAGTACAATTTACTACAGTAGCTTTTGGAGTGCGATACCTAGGACAGTGGAGGAAAAATGTATTTCTGATTTTCTACAGAGTGGTAAGTGTGATATTAAAGCTGAAATCCAAGCTAAACAAATATTATCTAAAGACAAGAGCCAAGTGTCCCCTTTCTTAGAGCATAAGTGCAATTTAAACGGAAAGGGGTTGATTTACTAAAACTGGAGCATGCAAAATCTGGTGCAGCTCTACATAGAAACCAATCAGCTTCCAGGTTTTATTGTCAAAGCTTAATCGGACAAGCTCAGGCTAGAAGCTGATTGGCTACCATGCACAGCTGCACCATTTTTTGCAATCTCCAGTTTTAGTAAATGCACCTCAAAGTGTCCTTATCCCATTTACCTCATTGCACTGATCTAAAGTAACCCACCCTCCTCCCCCTTGATCTTATAGCCGCTGGTGTTTGTGCAGGCATGGCCAGGATGTAAAGAAACACCAGGGGCCATCATATCTAGGGGGAGGAGCGTGGGTTACTTTAGGTTAGTGTAATTGGGCAAATATCTGATGGACCTTGGTGTTTGTTTACATCCTGGCAATGCCTGCGCATTATAGCCCCATAGATTTATATTGGGATGACTTCTGCTGTTTCCCTTCATCTCCGGTCTAGAAACATAGCCCCATAAATGCCTGTAGGGTTGTAAAGCATGGGAGAGGCCAGGATAGCAAAACTTGTAGTGCTGAAAAACACTGATTGTTGGTGACATACAGCCCAAATCAGCCATGTGAATGAGTCATAAAAAAGATTGGTCACTGCTGCTCTCTATCCCTCTGTATGATGACTGTATCTTGTATGCACCCCCTGTAGTTTGCTCCAGGTGACCTTTAGTGGGAGAACCTGATGGATCTCATCCTACAGCTCTGCTCACTGCACAGGCTATGTCCTTCATAGTTATTAGAAGCCCCCTACTTTTAGAAGGCAATATTGGGGCTTACAAAGGCATTTGCTGTATACAAAGAGGACTGATATCCTTTTCGGCTATGAAGAAATATATTGTATTAAATGAAAGTTATTGTGCCCAGAGTTAGCTTTCAGCACTTTCAAATTTTCCTCCATCAGTAGTACACTGTCTTATGCTGTGTATACACATAGATTATTTTAATTCAGCAATGGGCTAAACAAAAATGATCTAACAGATCTCCCCATCCACACTATAAAACACAAAAGGAGGAATCTCCTACTGCAGCTATTATATTCTGACAGCCAGAGCCACCACCTGTCAGAATACCCGAATAGTGGCTGCATCTGATTGGATGTAGCCGTTGTTCAGTCAACAATTTGCTGCCTGACTCACTTCATTTTTCAATTAAAGGATGTCAGGGGGAGGTGGCCGAGTGGGCCACCTATGTGGTGCTTCTGAGCAACTGACTGAAGTATGTCTAGTGTGTACGCAGATTTAGCTTCCAGCTCAGCCACAAGCTATGACTGGGAGTTTCTGGCCAATGTGGAAGTTTTGTGTGAGCTCTTTTTACTGCTTGGGAATTCAGTGAACAGAGCTCACAGAGATCACCAGAGATGTAGGACCGTTATGAACCATGCAGAAGGTCACTTTCCTGTACCTACATAGAGGAATTGAATGTAGCTGTCAAGAAACGAAATAAAAGTTGGTTCTTTAGCACCGGACAAAGCCCTCCACGTGTTTGTGCAGACGGTCAGGATAGCTTATAGACCCCTTTACATTTTATACATAATTTTCATATGGGGTTCTCCTAGCAGATGAGAAATGAAGTTAAATCTTGCTAACGCTTGTTGTAACTATTGCAAGTAAACCTGGCTTGTGGATTGATCCGTCATTACATCATTTCCGTTATGTACATTACATAAAGAGACCACGTTCCAAAACACACAGCACGAAGTCTACAATCCAGCATAGAACATGGGGAAAATGCCAGTCATAACTTACTTGGGGTCAAGTTCACAAACAATTCAGCATTCTTTCTGTTCTGTTCCAGTACACTAGACATGAGTTCCTGTCAGTAAATCTACTGCAGATGGTGATAAATCAGAAGTATAATTTGCACCCTGTCAGTCAGGATTAAGGAATGGACATGAGAAGGCAAATCACATGATTGGACAGTCCTGGGAGGAAAAACCAAGGCTGAGTGTTTCCCTATATCATGCGCTCTACATCAGATCAGTATTGTTAGTTGGGTATGATGGTCTTGTCTCCTTTATAAAATCCACATTGGTGGCTATTTAAAGTATTATATGAACTAATATGCTTTTTATTTTATGGAGGTGTCATTTATATAGCATACAGCCTCATTATGATGTACTACTTCAGGTTTATTCTTGGAGATTTCCAATTTGACTAAAAAATGTAACATTAAAATGAAACTTATCTTTTCAGGGACTTTGCTTTACACCACAGCAACACTGCCGTACTGCCATTTAACGTGGCTAAACACTAATGCAAAAATGCTGAAAAACTTGCATTTTTAACATGACTTTTTACAGCTAACGCTACCACCATTTTTAAAATGCGCAGTGTGTATGAGGACTTAAAGTG